TTGGTACTGGAGATGGAACTCAGGTCCTTGTGCTTGAGAGGCAGGCACCAGAACTACTGATCTAAATCCCGGGCCCTGGAGGTCTTACATATCTGTAGTTGTGCTGTTGTAATTGCCTAGATATCCTGAATTGGTTCAAAATGTTTATCTTTCATAGTCATTTTGACTTTGGGGAAGAGCTAGAAGTCACATGGTACCTTTTGTGATGAATAAGGTCAATGAGGACAAACTATAATGTCTTTATTTGTCAGAAATTGCCATAACTGTTTGATCAACAAAGGGTGATTGAAAACTATGGTGAATGTTTAAATTCAAAATTTTATTACACTAAAAGACACACTGTCATTAATCCCCCTAAAATATTCACAACACTCCCCCTAGCTTTTAACACACTTACTCCATCATTCTTAGAACAGTACTTTTTATTATAGTAAGTTTTTAATGTAAATATTTGCCATATTTGTTGATCACCCTTTGTATGTCTCTCAAAACCAGGTGCCTGAATCGAAGATTTGGGCTTCTACCCTCTGTCCCCCTTAGAGTAAACTGAATTTAAATTCCTTGTGACCTCTATACAGGCAACTCCACACTATTGATAGTAAGACTTTGGAAGTCATTTTACTCAGTAAATGTATTTTTATGGACAAAAGCTGATCTAAACCTTTAGAGTTGGGAATTAGAAAACCAAACTTTTATACCTAATAGAGCCAGAAATTTTATGTTATGGTTTGGGGTCATTGGTTTTTGACATAAGAAACAAGCAGCATATGTGCTTTTTGGCTTGCAAAGCTTTTAACTAATCTCAAATTCAAGACTTTATCTCAACTAACAGAAGATGACAAATTCAAGATTTATTTATTTCAACCAATGAGGAAAGGTACCCAGGATGAAGTAGTTCCTTATATAATACGAAAAAAGTATACATCAGGAAAAGAAAAACTTGTGTAAATATCTTAATGCTAAATTTATTGAGACACCATGAGATTAATACAAGTTCCCTTTGGCCTCTACGATTACAAGAGGCGCTTTTCCAGACATTTATTACTCCAGCGAAATGCTCCAGCAAATGACTCCAGTGAATTTTCTTTGCCGGACCCAAATAGCCAGTATTATTACCCATAATTTGTTGTTTTCTAGCCTACAGGGAATGTACGGTCACCTTGATTTAAAGTGAAGCCTTTTACAGAAGTTATATATCTCGAATCATTGTAGAATAGCAAATTTTAGGGGAGCCAAATTGCTCCACTGACTGCTATTCTCTGTAAAGTGAAGAGAGAAAGTCAAGCA